GAAAACCATTTTCCCACCACTTGATTTCAAGGAAAAGCAAGAAAATGTGAGTGTGTGAGGAAAAGTGGGAACAATATTTGCCTAGAAAAAAACCTATCAAACAAAGGAAAATTGGGAAAATGGAAAATAAATTCTATTTTCCATAGAATTGGCTCCCTATCAAACACACCCTAAATCATTTTCACTCTTCCTCATATCCCTTCTCTCTTCTCTTCCTCTCCCACCTCTCTCCACCATCTCCCTCACACATGGACTGCCACCATCGTCGAAGACCATCACTCTCTCTACCCTCTTCGTTGTGAGTGTCGCTGTAGCGAGCCACCCAAGATCACCTCCGAGCATTGCTACGCAGTGCGTGCAACTCTGCACAACACCGCTTCAGCAATGCTTAGATCGCGGCTGCAACGGCAATCAGCAATAGTATTGTTTTTTTTTTTTGTTGGATTTTTTGGTTGTTCGAGTGGTGGTGGTGGTGGTTTTCATATTTTGATGTTGGAGTTCTGGGGTGTTGGTGTTGGTGGTGAGATAAGGTGATATAGTGGTCACAAATGATAGGCAATGCCATTTGTACAACCATAGTTGATCGAAATGGTTGACAATCACTCACAATTGTGGGCCCCACAGTGAATTAAAAAAAAATTGCCCACCCACCCCATGTGTGAGAGATTGTCAACAAACCTACTCTCTCCCCTCTGTACAATTAGCACAGCCCCAAATGATAAAGGTGCAGGTGACGGTGCTGCTGGCAATGGTGGTGACTTGGTTGGCATGCATGGCATTCGATTGGGTGGGATGAGTGGAATGAGACAGGATAAAGAGTATTCACAAATAATAATTTGGGTGATTGTGGCCAATAAAATTATTCATTTGTGACCAATAAATATTTTTTGATCAATTACTTGGGTAATTGTAATCAATTAACTTGATAATTTTGACTGTAAAATAAATTATGACCTGTAAAATTTGTAATATGTAATCAAAAAATAATACGTAATCAATTAATTTGATAATTTGTGACTGTAAAATAAGTTATGACTTGTAAAATTTGTGGATTGTGATCGATAAATAAATGTGACTCATTAATTTGATAGTTTGAGGCCGATAAAGAAATTGTGACTTGTAAAATTTGTAAATTATTATCGAGAAATAATATATGATCAATTAATTTGATAATTGCGACCGAGAAATAAGTTGCGACTTATAAATTTGTGATTTGTGAGATAACGTATGTAATTGTGAGTCTGTGACCATAAATTGTATAATACTATGACCTCAATATACTTAGAGTGTGTTTGGTAAAGAT